ATTATTATTTTTTTTTGTCAGGGTAAAAGAAATGTAAAATAAAAATAAAAACACTTTTTAAATATAAAAAAATACCATAGGCCATAGAATAAGAATAGGTAAATGATATTATTGTACTTGCTTACTTTATAGTTTATATTGTTTATTAAATTTGACGTAAGAGAAAATGATATTTTAGACATGCACATGGCACATCACATTAATACGCATTGGTTAAAAATTGAACAAATCAAATTTATTACGATACAAAGATATGTATATAAACGTAGATATAGTAGTTACTTAGCTATCACTAATCTAAAAATTAATTATTATTATGGTTGCTTATTTTTGTTATTCGAAAATCTATAATATTTATTTACATTTACATTTTATACATTATTAGTTTTAGTACAATTATAGTACATAGGTACAACAAAAAATATATGTATTTATACAGGTATCGATAAGTTGATACAGTGGCCCCTTGGCCCTAATGGAGTATACAAATATTACAAATACCCATAATACTGTAAGTACAGCCGCCAGCAACTATTATAAAAATTTACTTTTATATCATTATTATTATTATTTTTTTTTTGTAATTGGGGCCTCTGAGTATAATATTGATGGGGGCCCTCTGGGAAAATCCCGATTTCCCGATGGCTCTATGCGCCCATAGTTAGGTAGCATTAATACCGTCGTTCACGCGATGACAAATAATATTCGGTGTCGCCGTGGTGTAGTGGGCGGTGAAAAATATTAGTCGTATACCTATAATACTTGTATCACCGCCAAATGGTGGAAAACTCATTCGGGTCAGATGAAAGTGACACAAAAGGGATTTATGTTTAACGAATCATACTTTTAGGATGGCAGCGGAATTGCGTCAGTATTTTGTCTACGGTTAGTTTAGGTCAGGTTAGGGGGAGGGTTGGCTGCGGAAGGCTGAATACGAAACGTGTGTTTGTGTGTGTGTGTGTGTGTTGGCAAACCGTGGTCGACAGGTCAAATGAAAAGGATATTATATTATATAAATGTAGCAGCCGACCCTGTAGCAGGCCGTAAACTAAGTTACGAGCTCGTAATTTGGGAGTGGTGTCCCACGAGCTGGTCGGAGGAGGGTATAAATACTGAGATAGAATTGAGGTGCAGTTTTGATTTTTGGGCCAAACATGACACGGAGTCGGTTTTTCGGCTCGACCGGTTCTATGGAAAAATAACAATTTAAAAATAGAACGCGTTTGTCGATAATCTAAAGACCGCATGACAAAATGCGTCGATGCAGTGTGATAGGTACCGCCTTTAATTTATATTTCAGATTACAGATATTATTTTAATAAAAATAACATCAGGACGGTGTGCGGTGCCCCTTAGATCCGTGCCCCGTAGTAGTGTAGGCTGTAGCCTACACTGCTTACGCCTTAATCTGGGCCTGTATACAGCTGAGTAAATCATTTCAGGATTATAATATTTTGCACGCCTACTAACGACGATAGTGGAGGGCTACAACTATAGTTTTGCACACATTTTAAAATTTCCTATGAAAACCTCGGAATTCATTTACGCACAAAATAAGTAGGTACTAATGTACTATAGAATTAATCATTATCGTTTGCCCAATAATATACTATGCGTTCATACGTTTTACGGAAAGGGCCCTGTCACACACAGTGATCTGCCATCGTCGACTTCCGGTACCCATTTACCTGACCGCATGATACTTGGTAACCTAACCTTTTTTATACTTATTTGTTTGTAATTGTTTTATTTTACTGGATTATCTCGCCGCAATGCAATTCTTATTCTTACCCGACCAAATGTTCTGTTTTATGGGCTGCTGAGTCCATTTCCACGCTGCCGTAGGTGGCTTTCCCACTCAGGTTCAATCTATACATCGGTGGTGGCTGATAACTTTGTATATAATATTGTATATACTCAAATTCAGCTTTCGACAACTTTTCATCGACTAAATAATTGGTACAACGGTACCAACCAAGCAGGTTACACTCGATGAAACGAGGTATACTTAGTGCTACACTGCCTACACTGAGTTGCTAGCAGTTAGTCTATAATATAATACTATATAAATACAATTTCCTATGTGCTATGGTTGTAGCAAGTAGCGAGTATAGGTTAATCAGTTAATGTAGTCATTTTTAATATTCACATAACACGTTTTGACATGATAAATTGTTTAATTATGCACCAAATAAGACCGTGGCCATCAAAAGCAAGACAATTTTTTTGTTATCAGTTTGATTAACGCCTGACTATGACTATTTATTTTGGTACCTACCTATACAAGATAAAACAAAAACTAAGAGTTTTAGTTCAACTTCAAATAATGATACACAATACATAATAAAATCGATGTACCTAATAAATTCAGCAGCGGTCCGGTGTAGTTCTAAATTCGATTAATCCATTAAACAATTTCAATTTTGAATTCTTGAAAAAAATTACGGGAAATTGTAATTAGGTACTATAAGTAATTTACACTTCTATAATACCTATATAATAATACAGTACATTTTTTTACTAAAATCTTCGTAATATGTCATATTGTGATTAAATAATAATTTACAAGCCAACGTTGACATGCGGTATAGAATGATGTACGAAGATCCATGATAGGTTCGAAGTTAGCGAGTAAAACTAGCTTAAAATGCATTTTTCTGAAATGTTGAAAATAATAATAGACCTTATGATGAAAAGTTTCAAGTCTTTAACATTATTTTTTTTTTGAATAACAACACAATTACTGAAAATATGGTTTTTGTTTATTTATCCAGTTTTGTAAAAATTTAAACTTCAATGCCCATTAAAAATTGTACAATATTCATATATTGTATATTCAATATTTTTAGATTGTTGTAAGAAGACAGACAATCTTTAGAGGACATTTGCATAACATTTGTAAATCTTAGGTATAAAAATTTTGTGATTTTGACTAATTTCGTATACATTTAAACTTCAAATATTTCTAACGTCGTATGTATTTATATAACTTTTAATATCACGATTAAAATAACGTACGAGATCCCTTTATAAATTATAATTCATTTTCTTGGTATTTGATCTCAAGAAAAAATTATTTTATCAACATAAATCGAAAATACTTAATGAGTATACCTATATTTTCAAATGTCCTTAAATTGTCTTAAAAAAATGTTAAAACGAAACCTATATCATTTAGTGAAAATAGTATGTCTTATTGGCTATTAATTTTTAAATTACAACAAAATTAATGTTTAACGACTTTTACCAATAGATAACCTAATTTAAATCAATTTAAAAGTCCACTGGATTTATTTTTGCCACTTTCACGTTAAATTGTCTTTATTCGCCGTGGTCTCCTGAAAAGTAAAAATTACTATTTTAACAAAAAAATTGAACTATTTTCAGGTGATGCTTTTTTGTAACGGACCTACTATTTTCCCATTATATTAAGTAGGCTTTAAAATTTAAATGTTTAAAACTTAACTTATTGGCAGGTACTTACTAGTTATTTTAAAACATCTTTAATGGTGTGTGTACTCGATCAGTAAATAAATAGTATACATACAAAGAAAAAGAGATCATTTATTATTATAATTATGATCAACATTAGTACAATTATAATTTTATGAACATAGGTATAGAGTTATTTATATATAATACAGATATTACGTTTATTTATACAAATTTATTTATACGTATGTAGCTTAAAATACTATAGTGTGGTGTACACATGCAATTACTCCAAATTAATCAAAAAACTGTACCAACTATCAATATGGTAATTTATTGGTAAAAATATGACTAGATTTTAAGAAAAGTAATGAATTCTTTTCTAAACATTTTGTTAAAAAAAATATTACTTACATAATACATCCATAACAATTGATATTTTTTAAATTAAATTAATTTGTTTTTGTATAAATCATAGTTAATAGAAACTAGTAGGAATAATAATTATCTATAGTTCTTAAAGTACTGTTATTGGAAAAAAACCGTGTAATCTAGTTAGTAGTTATATTATAATATATTTAAATACATATAGTTAGAGTTATGACTAATGTCTGCTTTGGATAAAACAAAAAAATAACAAATAACAATGATACCTATAATTATTTAATTTGAAATTAAAGTTTTTTAAAGTAAAATAAAACAATAAAACTGGGTTGTATAAAAAATACATGATGATTTCAATAATATGTTTCTATTCGATTAGTTAGTTATTAAAATAATACAACGCATTTTAAGATTTACTCTTTGTAGGTATTTCACTCTTACACGATTATTGCTAAGCCATTAAACACTTTTATTTGGGCATAAAACAGTCACGTGAATGATTTGATTAAAAAAAAAATAAAACACAGATGTTATAGGGTTACAACTATTAATGCATCTCTGTAAATAATGCAAAATCACATTGAACAAGTAGGTAATGTATTATTTCCCAAAGGTTATAGTCTTATAGAGTATACTGTCGTCTTTAATACAAAAGCTTATAATCAATAGTAGAGATTTATCCAATACTTCTATGTTTTTAATTATATATATTTTAAGATCAAAATTATAACTATATCGATCTTAGTGTTTTTTAGTATTATTTTATGAAATTGGTCAAATTAAAATCTAAGGTATCATGAATATGACTTTTTGGCTTACTTGTTGATCTTGGAAATTGGAATCCGTCTCCATATAGCCTGCAGGTATATATGGTATGTAATTAATTATTATTTTAAATCTAGGTACTTCTAGTACCTATTATAGGCATACCTACATATTTTATATATATACCAACACCAAAATATATTTATTAAAAAATGTGTTAAGAGTACCTATATAGTACTACTTACAGATCTGTATATTTATCTTGCCTATAGCATAAAATGCCTAAGAAGTTAAAGCTTCAAAAAGTTTTTTTTGTTAAAAAAAATGTATCTTATTCGCACTCACACCCACTTTTATATGAATTATGAACGTTCAATTCAAATAACACAATATTTTAAATCATGAAAACATAGGTTTAGTTTTGTATTTTGTGTATACATTATACAAATGATTAAAAACTATTTTTTTAATATTGATCTTAAAAAAATAACATTGACACCAAAGGCCATTAATTACAGTGTTACACACAAGTTATAAATAGTGGAGGTTAGCTACAAAGATAGGTTATAAAATTGTGTTACATTTATTTTTTATAGAAGATTGAACATTAAAAAATTATCATATGACATTTTAAAAGCCTATCTGAAAAATAGGCTGTTTTAGTAATTATCTAATAGCAATATACCGTATTAGGCACTTAAATAGACAATATTCATACATTTTTATGAAGGCGATAAACGACGATGAGTTCTTAATTCTAATGAGAAGATTTTTCTATTAAAATATTTTCGAGTCATTTATTTATATTTTAACTTACTAAATTTTTATTGGAGACGGATGAGATCTTATGAAGTTAGTTTTTATAAATATAAGCTTCTTTGTTTTTTTATAGATATCAAAAATTGAACAGCATTGAAACTTGGATAAATCCCTGTAACCACGAGTCTTAAATTAGTATTTACAATATATTTTTTAAAAACTTTTTACATAAATACAATATTAGTAAAAAAATTTGGAATACAGTTTTGTGAAAAAAAAAATAAAACGAGGGAAAAAATTAATGTCATGGTCATAGGTAAAATACTATTTACCATGTTTATCCTTACACACTCATGATATGGTCGAAAAGGTAAACATAGGTATATTTTCTAGTAGTTAAGTAGCTTATACATTACACATAGTCTCAGTCCTATTCTAATTGTTGACTTAAAAAATAATAACGACATTTCAATTATAATAATGAATAACATGATGGATGACATCAAAATGAGCGTTTATTATTTTATTAAACTACCTATTTATTGTATAATAATGTTAAATTAAAAAAAAAATAGGAGGATGAATATAATAGAGGAGTTTGAATTTAAATGAAGACTTCTCATTAAATTTCTCCCCGTCCGAGGGACTGTGTCGATCCTTTAACGGAACAGATCGGTGTCCACAGAAAGTTTGTTTTAAGAGATAGAATTAAGAAATATAATTAGAACAATATCTATTTACCACGTAGCCAATCATACGAGTCATTTCTCATAGAAGACACATAATAATTTAAAAAAAGGTAAAACAACGTAACATACATTTATACTTATATGATTGATATATCGATGTGAATCTTCTTTGAGCGTTTTTTCGCCCACCCAATGAATTAATGTATTTTTCAAGGTCATCTCAGATGTTGAACATGTCTTGTTGGTTGACAGTGGCGTATGTGACCGTGGCAGGAGCTAATACCATAGACGCTCCCATGTACTGAAAATAAAATTTAGACATAAAAGTATATGTAATTATTGTATATATAATACAGTCCTATGGTCCTCAACCTTTTTTGTTTCGCGTGATCTATTTTGGTAATGGTAATTACTTTTTGCAACTCATGTCATCGGAGTAACAGAGTAAGAAAAAATTGACTAGAAATAAAATACATTGCACAAAATTGTCATAAGACGTATCTTCTACATGGTTTTAAGATACATTTTTTTTTATAAATTATTGAAAGTCAGTATATTGTGACAATTAAATCCTGAATCTTACGAGATCAAAGATTGGGGTGGGACTCACCGGTTCATATATCCATACCTGTCGCATAATATGGCCGGGCAAACATTTATATATATATATAGACTATTCAAATATGTTTAACACATGTCGTTTTTCCTAAAATGTATAAATAAATATGAATATTTCATAAACACGATCGCACGGTGGCCTTGGATCACGGCTATATTTACTCCTGTATCTATATTATTGAAAATTGAGGTAATAAAAAACGTGTGCTATTATGTTATAGTGAATCCCAGATAATATTTTCTTTCACAAACTCAATATAAGAATGTAAATAAAATAGCACTTGGGTCAGTTTAACATAGTCGTGTACCAATAAATAGTCAAACCGCATAATATTACAATAAATTTAATTCAGTTTTATTGCTTTATTTTCGACCTTATGTTTTCAATACTTCTTCGAAACCATTCGAGTGTTTTATTTTTTTATGAAAGTACAAATAAGTATCATCCAATGCAAATATTTTATGTTTATCTATATAGGTATATATAGGTATAGTGCGTATACGCATAAATATATATACGTTTTTATATAGGGTAAATTAAATTTACTGTGACTACTATTCTTAAAATAACACAATACTAAGCAGCTAAAAGCCTAGTGTTCTAAACATTTCACCTGTTCATGGGCACGAAAGTATATTTCAAAGATTCTACAATCATGGTATTTTCTTTGTACGAATTTTTAAGACTAATATTATATGCTATTATACACATTTCCCATGTATTATTTCTAATAGACTGACGCTATAAGCTAAATTTATGTGGATAAAAGTTATAATGAATAAACGCATATAGGTAACTGTACAGTATAGTATATGTGTACATTTTTTTGGCAAATTACACTAATTTGTTTCATGTTTGATGTATGAAAATATTGTTTTCCATATTTGTATAAGTAGAGAGTGATCATTTAAAAATGTATGTTCTCAATAAATGCATATTATATTTAAATGGAATGAAGACAATTTTAAATTTTAAAGCATAATCGAAACACGATACTATTATTGGAAATTATAGAATATTTAATTTTTAATTTTCTAGTCTATTACAGTATACTACATAATATACATATTACTTATTGGATACAATTAAATACTTTCAGGAATCTATATTTTCCGCAGTGAGATCATGTGCGTATAATGTAAACACAGATAAGAATCGCATTACGACGCAATTCAACAATTGTGTCACGTCGTAGCAATATAGTTAAAGACCTTTATTTAAATCAGTTGGTTATTACTGTTGGATTATTGAGAATAAACATGTATACATATTAAGTTCTTACTCTGATATTGTTATTATTGTAATCTCATTATTTTTATGTTAAAGAACCATCATTTGAGTCCATACCCCATATCGAGTAATTATTTTATATTAATAAAATAGAAAATTACATTTTCAAAAACGATAAGAAAAACGTCAACGAAATGTTCAACAAGATTTATCAACTACTCTTGCGCTTTTGCCAAGTACTTGACATTTAGTTTTTTTTTTTAAATTGTATTTTCGTTAAATGTTGAGAATCTGTATATCATCATAGAATAAATACCATTAACCTCAAGAATAATGTACACAATTTAGTATAGTTTTAACTTCTATTGAATTCCACACAATTATGGTACCTATATAAGAACTTACAAAGAGTATATATATATATGATATATATACTTTAAAGCACTTTTTGAACTCTACTAGTCACGCAGTATGCACAAATATGTTAAATGTAAATCTAAGTTTATTGTGCTCACTGTAGGATTTCCTTTATGTTCCCGTTTTTAGGGTGCTATATTTATATGCAAAGTAGGGAGAATTCAATTTTCTTCAATGAACACAATTTTTTTGTGTAGGCAATTTCGTTACATCTTCGTGTGAAATTAAATTGTATGAAGGTACCTGCTTACTACCTAATATATACCCTATGTATTAAAAATAAATTGAGTTTATTTATGTCTTAAAATGTATTAAATTGAAAATCATATATATTTTTCTTAATGTTTAAATAAAATCATAATTGCAAAATAAATATAACTATTAGTTTGCTTGTAGTTAATGATACGTATGCACATAACGTATATATATACACTCATAATAATATATATTTAATATATCTTTATAAAATGTTTAGCTGAACCAAGTATACTGTGTAAATGACCCTTTATCATAATTTATGAATATAAGTAGCTAATATTTTTCGTTTACCATTTGAGTCAGTTTATTTAGTTTTCTATAGTTCAAACTTATTCAAACTTAAGCGATTCTTGGGATGGCACACATCCAACGGAACGCAATTTTGATACAGGGTTTACTTAGAGATTAAAATGATTTATGATTCCATTTTACTTTAGTTTTAACAAGTGTTGTAGATTGATTTAGGCTTCTTAAACTACAATGTGACAAGTGATATTCCACTTGAGCACTTAGTTTTCATGTAAATAATTGTTAGATGTTTTATATTTTTGTGTTTCAATTTCAAAGATACAGTTTGTTTTTCAATTTATTTTTACCTATTATGCATCTTGATTTAATATAGGGTAAACAACATTACGTAATCATTTTAGCATTTTAACATTTTGGTTAAGGTTTTACTTAATTTATTATATCGATATGGTATGATAAATATGTGGACCAATTACATCATTAAAATATATCAAAAATAGTTGAATATACAATTGAAGACACTTATTGTACTATTAATTTATTTCATAGTAATAAATCATTAATATAATATAATATATTTTTTTCGATGTTTATAATATTATTTTATCCCTCCTCCTACTGCACACACTCACGCACACACACATACACACACACACACTCTCTCTCATATATGTGTGTGTATTATATAACTCAGCGAAACAACTTTATGCATAGATAGCTGAATATTTAATATTAAAATTACATATTTAAGCATAATTTATATGATGATTGTGAAAGGTTTTTGTACATTGTGTGAGAAATTTAAATAATAAAAATAGGATTTTGTTATAATATGGTAGGTACTCTTCATAAACCTACTATTCATTAAAAGTAATTAACCTGAATTAATCTAGAATTTAACTTCTGGTCACTTATCTCGTAATTTTAAACAAGTTCGCACGAAATTAATCAAATAATATACAGGCCAGTGCATCAGGAATAACAGAACCGTAACTAGAAATAGGTACTATTAGGTATATTATGTTTTTTTTTGTAACTATTGAAAAACTTTTAATATTTTCGCTGCCCATCTAAATACCGAAACTGCATAGTGATAGAGTTACCCTTTTTTCACCCTCATCCTTTCATTTCATATAAGACCGCATTACAATATTCATGTTTATAAATTGAAGTTTCGATCTTGCTTTTGGGATTTAGTTAAAACGTCCTATAGAGTATATATTATACTATTTTAATAACGTTTTACATTTTATGTATTAAGTAGAATATCACGCGTCCCGTCATGGGCCCAAGTATATCACTGATAAAACAAAAAAAATGAAAAAACTAATGACAAATAACATTTTTTAATATATTTGTTTTCTGTCAAAAAATAAAGTTAAACGATCATGTTTTTTTTCGTAATAACCAAATATACAATAAAAAGTTTAAGGTTTCAAACCAGTGTAATGTTGTCTATACTATGAATCTATAAATCAATGATACATAGTTAAAACGTTTATGTGTAATACATGAAAATTATAATTTTATTGAATATTTTTAATTCATAAAAGGTAAGGCACCTATAAAATTAACTTCAGAACTCAATAAATACGTGTCTTATATTAGCTCTGGAGCTTATACTTACTGGATAACACTTTAAATTCAGAATGGTTTGTATCTACAATCTACACATAATGTTTTGAAAGTAATTAAGTGTTCCAATGGTCTTAATGTTACTGATTATGATTCATTAAAATTGCCATAAAAAACAAATACCTATTTTAAAATATCAAAAGAAACTTTCATTAAGAGGACACCACACCTGAAGAGTGGTCCTCTGTTTTATAAACGTAGAACGCAGAAAATGTTAATATTAGAGTGGATTTACATAATAAACTTAAAGGTAAGAATATATTATACATGATACCTAAGTAGATCGTATGTTTTTACTGGTATTTAAATTTTTATAAGTGTGTTATGAACATTTTACAACTGTATTTTTTTTTAAATCGACCGCGGCACCGAAATACGCCAATACCACATTTCCTACTCTCAGTCGCAGTCACAATTTACAATTAAATATAAAATAGGTAATTACATGTTAACGTTATTTATAATTCCCTTAGTTCTAGTCTCTGTGAATGTATTCGAACAATATATATAGGTATAATGACAGAGACGTACTCAAAACAAATTTTCCGGGGGGAAGGGGGATTTAAAATGTTATTGAAAAAAAACTAATGACATTTTTACAACATAGGATATTTCACTCAATTTCTCTTGTAGCGATTTTCTTATTTTGTTGTGATTCAAAAACATATTACTGTGAACACTTGGAATTTACACGATATTATGTTTATTTCATCAATTTATATACTTGATACATTTTTCAAAATATTTTAACTCGTTTTAAGTCGTTTACGGACATTTGCAATTTTTTTTTTTCAATTTTTTTTTTTACAAATGTCAATAAAATGTTTTTGGTTGGGTTAAAACCCATGTAAATTTAGTACATGATTTTTGATTTATTGTTATCATAGCAGTTA